GATTCATGTAGTGTCCTCTGGAGATTGAGATATGGTGCTTTGGAGCTGCATGGAGTTGGAGTCACAGGTGTCAGAAGCACTAGTCTGGAGACCTCATTGTACAGCTGAATGCCTGAGGCTCACAGAAGCTCCATCCAGGAGCTCAAGGTCACTGCTGGTAATTGGGAGAACTAACAGCTCTGGTGGCCCGACCTCTGGTGGGGGGGGGGGGTTGGTGAGCACCAACTGCAACACACGACCATGCAGGGAGAAAGAAAATTTGGGGAATGAACGAAGGGGAAAGTGGAAGAGGGGATGGGCAAAGAGCAGGAAACCAAAGGAAAATTCTTCCCTTTGTTTTACAGCTTTTTAACAAAGCCACGGGCAGTGCTGGTCAGACTGCCTGAGCAGCATTGCCATCTGGCGGTCATCAAGGGCATGCGTACTAGGAAGGAATGTCTAATTGGTTTAAGGCAGCGATGGCTCACTGGGGAAACCAGCTGCTGTCCCACCTGAGGCAGGGTGGAAGCTGGCAGAGAGCCAAGGAACTACTGTTTTGGCTGATCCTCCCAGAAGAGATGGCTTTTCAAGGTACTAGTGGAAACTCTTCTCAGCCCCATTTCTAGCCAGCAGCCATCCTTATCTGAGGACAGAACTGTGGGCAGGGCCTCCTGGTTATTATTACCTGTGGGCCACACATTCTCTTCCCACACTAATCCGGTCAACTGTCTTATAAAAGTTGTTCAGAGGAGCTGGAGGAACAGCAGGTTGTTTAGGTACCAGGGAATGAATTTAGGGACTCTACTACATCCCCAGCCCTTATCTTGTATTTTATTTAGAGATAGGGTCTCACTGAGTTGCTTAGTGCCTCACCATTGCTGAGGCTGGTTTGAAAAATCCTCCCTCAGCCTCAAGAGCTGCTGGGATTATAGGCGTGTGCCACAGGGCTCAGAGACATCATGGGGCTTATCTTATTGATCAAGGTCCAGCCATTTGCCAAGGTATATACACATTTTATTTAAAAAAGTTTACAGTTTTCATTATACACAACTATTAAGAGGTTATAGTCAGAGGAGGCATTTGTCTTGGTGACAGACATGCCACAAGATCATCACAATGCAAGGAAAAAGGTGAAAGGAAGGAGATGGGGCAAGGAAAAAATAAGCAATAAAAAGCTTCGATTTCAATGAAGGGCTGGTAAGTCCCTTTTCTCTCTTCAAGTATCACACAATATGTACCAAATACAATCAGTAAATAATGGCCATTTCTTCCCAAGCCCACAGCCAAGATGAGTATTTGCTAAATTAAGAGCCCTGGCCCTTCCTCAGGTGAGGAAAACCCTCCTGCCCCAGAGGGCTCCACTTTATCCAGTCCCTGATGGGATCACAAGGTGTCCAGTGGCCAGAGGAAGTATGAACATGGATTCAGAAGTCCAGAAAAATGCAGTTCTTTGTGCCCAATCAGAAATGATTTGATTTTACTCAACAAGGCTGTGAACCCAGTTAGGAAGTTGATGAAATGAAGTAAAACTCTTGCTCACTTTTGTAAATGGCTTTCACTTTTCTAATCGAGTCACTAAAACATTAAAGGGCCACATGCCATTTAAAATCAAAAAGTAGTTCCCAGAAACATGTGCCTAGGAACTTGACCCACAGAGGCTAGCAGATTCTCGTGATTCTCGGCCATCCCAGCAGGAGGCCTAGGAAAAGCAAGCCTCAGGACAAGGCCAACTAGGGCTTCAGGGAGCCTTTTTGAGGGCAAAATTCCTTCAAGGGGAGACACTCCTCCGCAGCCTAGATTAGCCCGTTGGCAATTAGAACAGTTTTTGAAGTGGATGAAAAGTATCAGCATTGGAGAGTTTATATGGCAACTTTGATAATTATCTCACTAGTAGAAAATGCTGGTTGAAAATGCACAGTAACCTCAAGAAGGGTGACGAGACTGAAGACAAGCTCAAAAGCCAGTGTCTGATTGGCTACCGCTGAGCATGGCCCAATGGTCACCACGCTGGGCTTCTGGAGGGCACTGGGTTCATGCTGCAGGGCTACAGTCACCTGGCTCCTTAGTGCTTGGTGAGAGCTTGAGCTGTCATTTAAATAGGGGCAAAGGATAGCGTGTGCTGGTAAACCAGTTGGGATTTCAAAAATTATGGGTACCAAGAGTAATTTCCAGATGCAGCTTTTGACCTACTTCCATTGCCTCTAAAGCCAAGCATGTTCAGCAGAGCGTACACACACACCCGCCCCAACACCCTGGAACCATCTCTGGAGGCTTGAGTGTTAGAAGGGACACTTTTGGACAGCTCCGAAAGGCTTTTGGTGTTGTAACCCCCTCTACTGCAGATTTAACTCCTCTCATAGGTGAGCAACTTAGAGACCCAGCCAGGCCCTCTTCCTTCTCTGTACCACCTGTATCAGCTCCTATTCCACCCTGCCCAGGAGCTGGGAAGGAGCAGTGTTAGTCTAAGAAGAGATCCTTCCAACCTACCAAAAGCCAATTTCCCAGAGCTGAGGAAAAGGCCGAGAGTGCCAAAACATGCCTGCGACCAGGGTTAGTGCCAAGATGGGGTTAGTGCACAGAACCAGGGTAGTGTGATTTGGGTGGGAATCACAGGAGCTTCCATTGCTAACAGAAGCCCAATTAGACCTTCCCCACAAACTCAAAAACACGCACTCACGCACACTCTGTAACCACACTCAGACTTGCTGCTTAGCCCTTGCAGCCCCCACCTGTCTTCACGTGGAAATTCTGCATTATCAGCCCCGAACTGCTGCCACTTCACGCCAGGCAAGCTGATGGCTTTTCCCTGAAGCAAAGTGGAGATGATTTCCCAGTGAGGGGCAGAGCTGTGACGCTGCTCACAGACCTTCCCTAAACTTTGTTCTATTAGGGATTTTTTTTTTCTTGGACAAGATCAAAACCAATTTTTTTTTTTTTGGAAAGGTAATTAGAACACTATTGTTTGTACAATATTGAAAAAATACAATTTATTGTTTGAACTCAAATCATCACCCAGCACTTCAAGCCTACTCTAAGTAGCACCTACAGTAAAGGCTACAGAACAAGCAAACTGCTAAAGTGCAGGGAAGCAGGTCCCACAGGGCTGGCAGAGACCCTCCCTCCCGCAAGGCCATGAGAAGACAGCAAGCCAGGTCAAGTACACCATCACATGTTAAATAGTTAATACTACCCTTCCAACACGCCACTAATGCTAGCAATAGTCAGTATAGTTAACTAACCACAGCCCTACAGAACTGCATTTTTCAAAAAGAAAACCTTTTGCTTCATGCCCGTAATTAACATAAAATTAGTAAATTCTGTGTCTTTTTATTTAGGAAAATAATCATGCTAAAAGCAAGTTGTACTTTCTAGATTTTCAAAGAAAAGATTGATTGTGCTTTTTGAATTAAAAAAAAAATAGGGTATCCTTCCAACCTCACTGACTTAAACCTTGTGGAATACAGCACTTCTAAACTAAAGACACACATCAGAAAGAAAAATTATCCCAGGGACACTCAAAAGTTGTCTTTAGAGGCTTTTAGGATTAACTAATTCTGCTTTTGTCCTACTGGTTGCAGGGCAGGGGTGGGGAGCTGCTGTCTATAATGTCTCCAAATTCCCTCCAGATACAGCAGGCAACACTCAGATTTGAAAGAAAATTCCACCGCAACCTGGACGCAGGGTTAGGTGAGCAAACACGGGACTAGCAGGCATTTTAAACTGAATTGCTCTGAACCCACCCAGGACAGAAAGTGACCTTCCTTCACAACCCACCCTACTAGTGCATGTTTCAGGATCCCTTCTTCCTTGTCAGTCACTCTCTGAAGATAGCGGTTTTTCCCACGTAGAGCCACTTTGGGTACAAGAAACTTTATTTGTTCCAATTATTATGCATCTTAAATTTAGCATGTGTGTTGGGTCTGAAATACTCATTTCCCACTCCCACAAGCATACGATGACCAGCTGCTGCCAGGAGCAGCAGCAGGAGAGAAAACAAAACCCAAGCATTAAAGAGGGCCCAGGGCCTTGCAGCCACCAGGCAGATCTTCTTCCCAGGTCTAAAAGTCCACTAAGCGGCTTGTCCAGCGAGGAGACCATCTCTTGGTAGGTGAAGTTTAAGTTTGTTATCTGTCTAAGCACAATTCTCACACACATACACACACACCCCTCCCCCCCCAAAAAAAAACACCCAACAGTTAAAAAACAAAAAACCACACACACACACACACACACAAAAACAAACAAACAAACAAACAAACAAACAAACACAAAAAAACCCAAACAAACAAAAAACCACCACCAACAAACAACAAGCCCCTCCAGTTTAAAGCTCTTAGTCCAGGGCCGTGGTCTCAAGCTGGCCCAACACTAGGATGTGACTTTTCACTGTTGGATGAGAGGAAGCATCTTCCAGTCACTTTTCTCCTCCTGTCCGCTCAAAAAAGGTCTGGATTACAAGCTGTACCCCAAGAAAAAGAATTGGGTTCAGAAAACACTTCCAAAAGCTTCTCCAAAGCAAAATGCTGTGGCCACAGGTCTGGTAGCGTGAAGGGCAGGAATCTACGTATAAAAACGTACTTAAAATCAGTCAAAAATATGTTTTAAGTTTCAATTCTCCAATTGGCTCCCTGTTTTACACTGTTACTCCACAGAAACGGGCCCACTGAGGACTCTTGGAGGAGCAGCTGATTCGTACACGGCTGGCTCTACATGCTCCCACAGCAGGCCTCTTTCTCCCCAATTTTTTCCTTTCCACTTTGAAAAAGCACTATTCTATCTTCATGTTCAAGAGCTGGTTGGTTTGGTTTGTTTCTTTGGAACCATCAATAAAAGAAGCAACTTTTTCCTGTTAGTTTTACTCATGTCTACCTATCGAGCGGCTATTTCTTTTGACAGTTCAGTAGCACACAGGCTGACTTGGCCAAATGGACTTATGAATGCATGCATTCAGACCGCATATTGCTACCAAAATGGAATGTGGGAATATGCTATGCACCTCAGGTTGAGAAATGACCAAGAAATCAAGATCTAAAGGGTGATATATAATATATATATATCAATGCTATTATTCATAAAAACCTTGTTTAGTAATAAAAAAAATTGCTTTGTTTAAATATGAATATTATAGTCTGCTTCTCATGGTTAGGAAATAATAGTCTTTCTGAAAAGCAGGTGCTTTTTCTACTACAACTCCATGTCCTGGGCCTCATCTTCCGAAAAGTCAGACATAGAACTCTCCGATGAGCTGTCACCAGTGCCCTCTTCTTGCTCCTTCAGGGCCTCCTCCGTTGCATATTTTTGGATGTACTCTGCATGGGGTGGGGGAAAGAAAACATCAGTAGGTGAGTGGGCAGACATGTGCTTTAGTGACCCCAATGCTGTCAAGTCCCACAGAGGTTCAGACTCCTTCTATAGCAGGGGCGAAAAGATGACATTTAGTATGGTCATTGTAGCTAAGGGGGACCCTACAGGGGAGATGGCAATGGCAACACGGAATACTTGATTTTCAGAAGGATAACTACCTTTCATCATCATCCTGGAATGCTGGAGGGGTGGGAGAAATGATATTTCTCCACACTTGATATGTTTTACTTTGATGTTAATAAAGCGACCCACACCCCAGATACAACAGGACTAGTTAGGATTCCACAGAAATTTATCAGAAAATCCCCATCGTTTTCAGATTTGCAGTTGTATAATTATAGCTAGATCTATTATTATTTAGTCTACACAGATCCTGCCTGTCAGATTTTGGAAGCAGCCAGCAAAAACCATCTCCCAGACTGTTCATCAGAATGAGCTGCTATTTGGAGGCACAGGAGCCTCTGCGTGATTTTACCATGCATTATTCACCTGAAGATTTATGCTGCTAGTGCCTAGTCTCAGTCTACTGGCTGAAAAAGAATTTAAGAACTGCTGAATAAACAATGAACATGTTCCTAAAATTGCACACTGTTTTCAAGTAAATCACACACAATATGAAGAGACAGGCAGACAGTACAAATCACATCAAGAATGCAAGCTGGTGCCAGTGGCACACGCCTGCAATCCCAGCAACTTGGGAGGCTGAGGCAGGAGGATCCTAAGGTTCAAGGCCAGCCCCAGAAACTTGGTGAGGCCCTAATCAACTTAGTGAGACCCTGTTTTAAAATAAAAAATAAAAAAATTGAGCTGCAAATGGCTCAGTGGTAAAGTACCTAGGAGTTCAATCCCCAGTAACCCCTACCCCCTGATAAAAAGATTGCAAGCTGTTCAGGCACAGTGGTGCACTCCTGTAATCTCAGCAAGTCGGGACATTGAGGCAGGAGAATTACAAGTTTGAGGCCAACCTCATTGACTTAGCAAGGCCTTGTCTCAGAAAAAATGTGGGGGTGGTGGGGGTGGGAGTGGTTTGGTATAGCTCCACGGTAGAGCAACCCTGAATTCCCACTACCACACCCACCCACCCACACAAAAAAATCACGTGTCCTTGTAGTTTTGTCTTTTCTACTATGTTGTTGCAGGGATGGAGATAGGCAGATGGCTTCATGGATTGCCAACTTCTAGGAAACCACAGGGCTATAACTAAGAATATTTTTCATATGTTCTTTACAAAGTTTGCAGACTTGAAACTTTAAGCCCTTTAAGTTCATAACAAAACTTGATACCAAGTTCATGAAGTTTAACTAGCCCTAATCTAGGTAAGAATTTACTTTTTGGAGTGAGAGAAATATTAAAGCCTTAGAAATTTTATTTGTGCCTGGCTATTCTGCTTCTTCCTTCACAGAAATTGGTCACACTGACATTGTTTTTTGACACTGTAATTTGATCTATCAGCTTTCTTTAGTATAGTCAAGGGACAGAGCTGGCCTATAATCCTGGCACTTGGGAGGCTGCTCAAGCACCAGCAGGGAAGCAGCTTGGGAAGAAATCAGCGGAGGGTCCTGGGAGGGAGGTCACAACCACACTGATCCCAAGCTCTGCTAGCTGCAGCATAGGACAGGCCATTCTAGGAGAAAGGCTTGGAAAAGGTAAGTGGCTGGGAGTGAGAGCACAGCAACAAAAGAGAACTGTTTGAGTCTTTTTTCTTGAAAGAAATCTGAAGTACATAAGGCAGAATAGTGAGGTTTTGCTACAGGTCAGTGGTGGGTTTATGGTAATTGTTTTTCTCCATAGATTTGAAACTATCCATGACAATGAAATTATCCATTAACGAAAGAAAAGAATATACCTGGGTGCCTGAAACTCCTCCAACTTGACTGTCACATAGTGACACATTTAGAGAAGTAAAGGCAAAGATGTTGATTACCTCAGTAGCAGAAAACCTGGAATAATGGAACACTTCATGCCACTCAGCAAAGGTTTTTGAGCAGAAAGTGACATGTTTACACAGCTCCAAGGGTGCCCAGTTCTTCAGGCTGTTCAATATTTAAACCTGTTTTCAGGTTTCATTTCAAATGTACACTCTAAAATGGCACTGACAAGTTTCTAGGACAGGAAAGGGTTCGAAGTGATGTAAATGTGCTGCTTTTGTGGTGACTCCCACACAACAGCTATGCCTGTCAGGCAGCCTGGGAGAGGGTCAGGCCAAGACACACACATTTGGAAAGCATTGACCTGGAGGAGTACCTGATACTGAGAGAAGTGGATAGCTCCTCAATGGGGTACAGAGGGGTCTAAAGACCAATACATATGAGAACTGTCACATTTGGCAAGTGAAATGAGAAATTTTCAGAAAGGTAAGGAGTGAAAGATCAAAGCTGCAGAGAGGTCGAAGAAAATAGAACTTGAGATGGGTCCACAGGATCAGAAGAATTGAGGTCACAGATTCAGGAGAAAGAGGGGAAACAACTATGAAGTTTAAGGCAAGGAAGCAGGAAGTTTGAAGATGAAATAGATAGCAAGATTCCTAGAGGACCCCACATGAGCAGATAAAGGCTTCTGAAACAGGGCAGCTCTGGCAGCAGGGATAGAACAGGAAGGGGATAGCTGGGAGAACAAAACACAGGCTGGTAAGGAGTGAGTTTTGGAAATAAAATGGGACACCTCTTATTCCTGTGAGGACAAAGAAAAGGTGAGAGGGCTAGATAATAAAGGCACAGCAGGAGGCAGGGATGCACTCAGGTCTGATGGCCTTGAGTCCTCAGGTCACCAGGAAGATAAAATGATCACCAATTAACAATGGATTCCTTTTGTAACTGGGACCAGAGAAGATATGCACAAAAATAAGGCTAATGTTAAACTGCTGAGGCATAATGAATATGAGAGCTATAGAAATATATTCTGCACTGAGATATCTGTGGTTTGCAGATGCTGTTAAGCGATTCCTATGTCAAATTTTAGTATGTTCTCATAATAGAACTTTATCTGGTTGAAATGACTGCTTTTTTTTTGGAATACCTGTTCACTTGGATATGCAGATACTGTGCTACATAAATTAAATATTAATTTGAGATCTAAGTAAGTTATACTAGATTTATTTCTGCTTTATCTAAAAAAAAGCTCCAAACAATACCCTACCAGAGACTACAGAAAACGAGGAAACAAACAGAAGGAAAATAACTGTTCAATAAATACCCACAATGTTCCTGTTTGTTTTATGCCTGACACAGTTAAGACTTAAGGACTACAAATAAGAACTATATCTTCAAGCTCTCATAAAAACTACTGCAGTCTCTTACAAATATATCTCAAAGGCCCACACATTTTGAGAAAGCTGACACATGGATCCTCTGCAGATGAGAAAGTTGTATTAAAACTGGGAGGATACCAGTGCCTGCCATTTGATAAGAGCAGGTACACTTTCACCAATTGGATTTTTCTTCTTTTTAATTGAGTTTTATGTATCTAGATTTTTCAAATGTGAAAGTTCTCAAACACACAGAGGTGAAATGGAAAAGTCAATGATCATGAGTAAGACCACTGGAACTATAGCTTTCTTTCACATATTTTCCTTTCAATAAAATTTCAGCTCCATTAATATACAAGCTGTCTTAATTATGGGAGAGAAAAGGATTCTAAATCCTAAGGGCAAACCAATTGGCACTCTACCATGATAAACTGGAGGTTGGCAAGTACTACTTCAGTCCACAACTGTCTCTTTTTTTAGGTCTGAGAAAAATTGAGGAACTAAGCTCCTTAAGACTTTTAAGTGACTTAAATTCTTTTGACTCCAGTTTAAACTATGTACCTTCTTACCTTTAATTTTCTGCTTGTATTCTTCTGGTCGGTGGAGGTACATGGCTGCAGCATCACCATTGAGAGGATCTATGGGGTTAGGATAGGCCAACAACTGAGGCAGGAAGGATTCAAATATATTGGTAAGATCTGAAACAGACAAACAAACAAGCACTTCATGCATGGGAACAGGAACATGCAAGTTCACCTAAACCTCAACTGAATTCAGTAATAAAACCTGCTTAACTTCTTAGATAAAAAAAAAAAAAAAAAGTTGTTTTTTTGTTTGTGTTTTTATACTTCATCTGCTATTATTTTTGTTTATTTTTATGTGGTGCTGAGGATTGAACCCGTGCCTCACATGTACCACTGAGCCACAACCCCAGCCCCTTAGTTTTTTTAAACTACACGAGGATGACTTTCCATAAAAGCGTGCACCACTATATGTGACCTATATTACATATGCATTTCAATGACAATTGAACTTTTAAATTTGAATTAATTTTTTTTGCAGTGGGTGGTAGGAATCAAGCCCAAGGTTTCATGCATGGCAGGCAAATGCTCTGCCACTGAGCCCTTTCTCCCCAGCCCTTATGTTTTTAAATTTTGAGGCAGGGTCTCATTAAGGTGCCCAGGCTGACTTTGTCCTTGAGATCCTCTTGCCTCAGCCTTCTGAATCATTGGGATATGCCACCATGCTCAATTTCATTTTAACTTGAAGAACCAGGTTCAGATATACCTGATATTTGCTTTGAAAGGCAATTCTCCTTAAAATATAAATATATATAATAATAATATATTTAATTTTGTGGTACTGGGATGGAACTCAGGGCCTCAGCAAGCACTATTCACTGAGCCATATCGCCACCTCCAATTTTCCAATTCCATGTTACTCTATTTTCCAAAATGAAAACTTAGAAATACTGCACATATTATCAAAACTTGTGCCCAAACTCTAAGGTACCCTATATTCTTACAAAATGAACAGTTTCTTAAAATAGCCATCTTTACAACTTTTAAAGTCCTCTAAAAAGTATTCAAGTACCAGATCTATAAGAACTGAACAAAATTGTATAGGACTTGATATTTTAATTCTCACTTTTTTTTTTTTTTGTTTGTTACTAAGGATTGAACCCAGGGGCATTTTATCTCAGAGCTACATTTCCAGCTCTTTTTTAGAGAAGGTTCTCACTAAGTTGTTTAGGGCCTCACTAAATTGCTGGGACTGGCCTCAAACTTGTGATCCTCCTGCCTCAGCATCTCAAGCCCCTGGGATTACAGGTATGCACAATCGTGCCCACCTCTAATGATTTTTATTTTTACAATGAACCTTCTATGCAGTGTTACATGTGAATGTGCTGCCAAGTCATATCACTTGAGATTCGTGGTTTTTTAACCTCGGGTTTTGCTCCCCAGGGGAATCTGGCAATGATGGGAGACATTTTTGGTATTATAACTAGGGGCTGCAACTGGCATCTAGTGGGTAGAGTCCAGGGATGCTGCTGTAGCATCCCACAATGCACAGGATAGCCCCCCACAACAAACAATTTTCTGGACCAGAACTACAGTGTTGAGGCTGAGGAAACTGGCTCTTGAGAAGAGGTGAGCAAAGCTTTTTGCAAAGCATCAGTAAATACCTTAGGCTTTGTGGGCCCACTTAGTCTGTATTCAACAAACAGCTCTGCTACTGTAGCACAAAAGCAGCCAAAGATAACAGCTAAACAAATGGGTGTGGTTGTATGCCAATAAAACTTTATATACAAAAATGGGTAGATTGTTTGCCAGACTCTGCTCTAGAAAACTCTCAACTTAAGAGGTGGCTCTTCCTTACCACTGTAAGGTTAAGAAACTGAGCAGTTAGAATACTCTGGAGCTGCATTATTCAACAGGACTTTCTGCAGTGATGAAAATTTTCTCTACCTGCACTGTCCAAAACAGTAACCACCTGTCACATGGCTAGAATGACTATGGGAATAAATTTTTCATTTTATTTAAATCTAATTTGAATTTAAATGACCACTAATGGCTAGAAGATGCTGGATTGGGAGGCACCGGTCTGAGAATGATGTACATAGCTCCTTAACAGCTAGATACTGAAACCAAACAACTTTTTTTTTTTTTTTTTTTTGATACCAGGATTGAACCCAAAGGCACATAATAACTGAGCCACATCCCCAGCCCTTTTAAAAAAATATTTTGAGAAAGGTCTTGCTAAATTGCTTAGGGCCTCACTAAGGGCTGGCTTTGACCTTTAAATCCTCCAGTCTCAGCCTCTGAGATTATAGGCCTTTACCACTGTGCTCAGCCTTTGTTTTCCCTCTCTTAATCCTTGGGTTGGTAGGTGAGTTTTTAGGGTAATGACAGAAAATGCCAAAGAGCAAGCAAACTAAAAAGATTCACAAACTCTCTATTTTACACATAAAGAAACCTAGGTACACAGAGGTTAAGTAATTTGCCCAAAAGGTTGGATTTCAAACCTGGGCATATCCACTATGCTACCTCTGTTAATGGATTAAAAAAAAAGGAGAGGGGAATGTTTCAATTTTCATGATAGCACAAGCTCCCCATATCTCTGCAGCAAAACTGTATACCTTCTTGGGCAGGGGAGCCAAAGCCCACGGCTTAGAGACGAATCCACCCCTTTCTACAAGTGCTAGTCCAGCAGGACAAGCTCTAAGCAGACCATGTTTGGGCGTTTCTATGGTCCTTTCTAAGAAGCAATATGCTTGTTTTTAAGAGGACAGAGCTAGGGGCTTCTGTCACTCAGAAGGATTAGCTGCTGACTACACCTACCAAACAACAGAAATCTTTACAAAACAAAGTATAGGTTCTGTTCTCTGTAAGTAACACTGAGAAGTGCTTCAGGGCTAGAGAAATGCTGCAAACAATATACTATATAACCAGAGGTTTCCTGTATCACAGAAAGAGATTTTATACCCTTTCCTATTACCTTTAAGTTTTCACAAGCTACCAATAAGTGGCTTTGCCTACGTGTTTGTTCCAAACAAGTAAAAGAGCCCTTAATTATTGGTTCTTGCTTCCTGTGTTAACACACTTTTGATCCATTTTTACAGCTGCCCTGAGTCACATCTACAACGAAGAGGAGAAAAGGAAAGTCCACAGCTTGGCTCTGGGTGAAGATGATAGCTTCTGCAGGCCATCTTAAGATGTTCTGGTCCTGACCACTTAAAAGCAGTGTGGCATTCCTCAAAGTGGCTAATAAGGGTGCTAAGAAGCCACAGTTCTCCCAAAAAGGAACATCTCTTAGATACGCAGATAATCTGCTTTCAAGATAAAGATGCTGCAATGGCACAGTGGCACACACCTAAAATGCCAGCAAATTGGGAGACTGAGGGCCAGGAGGATGGCAAATTCTAGGCCAGCCTCGGCAAGACCCTGTCTCTTTCTCTTGTGTGGGGTCCTGGAGATTGAACCCAGGGATCTGTACATGCTAGGCAATTGCTCTACTCCTGTAGCTACATCCCCAGCTTATGACACCCTGTCCCAAAATAAAAAATAAAAAAAGAGCTTGAGATATAGCTCAGTATACCCAATCTAGTGATTATAGTCAGCTGGCTCCATTTCTGGCTGCCCTATTTTGTACAAACTGTCCCAAGATCCCCGAGAAGCACAGTTTATGATAAGCCCTAGACTAAATCAGCAGGTACTGAAGTGTGGTTCTATAGCATTCATGTAATACTCTTACCCCAGTTAAGGAATAAAAACTATATATTCATATTATTTTTTTAAACACCCAAATCATGATTTCTCATCAAAAGCAGCATCATTTACCTCACTCAATCTACAGCAGTGGTCCCTAGGTGAGTCTAGGTCTTAGTTATAAGTTTATCAAAATCACCCACAAAGCTCTTCATACCTACCCCAGGGCTTCCAACTAGGACTGGCTGGCCTTGCATGCATGCACATGATACAAATATCTGAGCACAAATGAGCAGCCAGGGACACTAGTCTATGCAGACCCTATCCCTAATGACCAAACTGGAAAGGTGTGGCTATTTGTTTGCAGGTTCTTTGGCTTAAGAAAACACAGGTTTGTCAGCTGAGCTGAAGAGGCTATGGCTGAGCAGTCTTTCCTGACCTCTTCTTCTCTTTCTGCATACTGCATCATCACCACCCTCTTCAGGTGGAGGAATGCCAAACCATAGGCAGGAAAAGGTGGATCCATTAAAGCAGCATTAAAAGGCTGATTTAGAGAATGGTAGGACACACATTGCTTAACACACTGTGGAGAGCAAGCAGATTCCATTAGGATGGAGTTTCCAGCAAAATGCAGGTTGGTTTCTCAGTGGTGAACAATGAATGAAAACCTAAAGTCTAATCTTGGGCCTTTCCTGACTTACTCTTTGACCTCGGGCAGGTCTCTTCCTCTCTGCATCTCAACTTCTGCAAAAAGAGAAGTATAACACTGCTGTTCCTTACCAGGAAGTATTACACATTGCTAAAAATGACTATAACATCTGCCACAAACTGCACTAAGGAGCTACACTAAAATATTAATACAAATGTAACATCTCTTAAGAGTAGAAATTTCAGCTACTGTAACCCTTAAGGATTAAATGTTAATTAAAATGAGTCACACAGGAAAAAAAAATCATACTAATTCTTAAAGTAAAGCCACCCTAACCCAGGTGATTCACAATCAGATGGCCTATCGTCTAAAGCGGAAAACATAGGAGGAACAAATAACACATCCATGTCTTATTCTTGGCTATTTATGATCCAGTGACCTTAAGTTATTTCTTCTTTCTCTATTTCCTTTGAACATCAAAATGGAAAATTTGGTAAAGTATGCTACTTTCTTGAGGTTATATTCCTATGGATGTTAAAGCAGGACATGGTCTGCCCACCAGGAAAGCAGGCCCCACTTAGCAAGCAGGCGGTCATCTTGGGGACTTTTATTTGCAGGATCTTCACTTGTTTTATATATATATATATATATATATGTGTGTGTGTGTGTGTGTGTGTGTGTGTGTATTTATTTTTTTAAAGGTACCAGGGATTGAACCTAGGGATACTTAACCACTGAGCCACGTCCATAGTCCTTTTTGTTTTATATTGAGACAGGGTCTCATTAAGTTGCTTAGTGTCTCACCAAGTTGAGACTGACTTTGAACTTGTGATTCTCCTGC